AGCTTCGCAACCCAGTGCTCAACCGCTGCGCCACCAGGGAGGACGGTCTGCCTTTCTATTCCCCACTCTGGCTCTGGTGAATTCTCTCACCCTCCCACACTTCTGACTGTACCCAGTGCTTGTGTAAATAAATAAATAAGTCTTTAAAAAATAATAATTATAAATAATAATAATAGTAGTGACAGTTGACATCATTGTCTTGTTCCTGATCTTAATGGAAATGCTTTCAACTTTTTACCATTAAATATGATGTTGGCTGTGACTTTGTCATAGGTGTTATTTATAATGTTTAAATAAGTTCAATTTATTCCCATTCTATTGAGAGTTTTATCATAAATTGATGTTGAATCTTTAGGCAAATATTGAGATGATCAGGTTAATTTTAGCTATGTTTTTTTGTTGAGGTGGCAATAACAATGATTGATTTGAGTATGTTGAATGAGTCTTGCATGCCTGGGATAAAGTCTACAGCTTATGAGGATTTTCTGGAGGATTTACAACTATTTTCATCAGAGATATTGGTCTACAATTTTCTTGTTTTTTTATTGTCTTTATTTTGTTTTGGGACGAGGATGATCTTGTTTTCATAGGATGTGTTGTAGAATTTTTCCTATGATATTTTGGAAGAGTGAGTAAAATATATTTTAGGTATTCTTTGAAGAATTGGTAAAATGCACTGGAGAAGCCATCTGGTCCTGTGCTTTTGTATTTAGGAAAAATTTTTATTACTCTTTTAATTTCATTACTTGTAATTGAACATTTTTAAGTTTTCTATCTTGCTTCATCTGGGGACAATTTGTCTAATTCTTCTAGGTTGCACAGAGACAATTGTAGTAACATCTTATACTAAGTACTTCTGCAGTATATGTTGTAATTTTGTCTCTTTGATTTATTTCTGTTTCTATTTATTTGGGTTTGATTTCTTCTTTTCTTCGTAAGTTAATTGAGGGCTTTTTTATTCTTTTTCCAAAGAACCAACCCTTGATTTCACTGATCCTTTGGATTAACTTTTTGTTTTCTATTTCATTTATCTCTGCTTGAATTTTTATTATTTCTTTCCTTCTACTGATTTTTTGGATACCTTTGTTCTTTTTTCTAGTTGCTTCAGCTGCAAGGTTAGATTATTTACTTGAGATAGCATTTCAATCTTTATTAACTTATTAACACTTGTTTTGTGAACCAATAATATGGTCATTTCTTCAAAATGTTCCATGTGCATTTCAGAAAAATATGTATTCAACTTCTGGAGAGTGTAGTGCCTGATAAACATTTATTAGGTCTATGTGCTCTAATTGATCATAGTTTCCTTTTTAATTTTCTCTAGGTTAATCTGTTATTGTGTAAGTGAGGAGTTTGATCAAACTCACTTTTCCAGTGGTACCAAATTATTCAATGTCGACTTTAACTTAATTCTAAGTTAATTATAAAATTATTATTACTGCCTCCCTTCCATGCAAGATATAAAGCTAGATAATTTTAGGGCATAGGGTGAAATTTATAAACTGGTATACTTCTTTCTTTCTTTTATTTTAACATTTATTATTTTTTACATTTTTTAGGCAATATTTGCTTCCCCCCACTCCCTCAGATTAAGTCCCCATAGAATTTCCTTCCCCAACGCACCTGTGCACCATCACCACAGTCCCCTGTGCTCTTCCCTCCCTCCCTCTTACCTCTCTCTCTCCTCCTCCCCTGCAGGATGTCTCTGGTTTATAATTGTCTGTTTTTGTTTTGTACTGTTACTATTATTTTTTTACACTGATGTGTTACTTGGTTCCCCTCTATTCCTGTTATAAGTGAAACCATCCGATATTTTTCTTTTTCCTTTTGGCTTATTTCACTGAGCATCATTCCTTCTAGCTCCATCCACATTGCTGTGAATGGCGTGAGTTTATCTTTTTTGATTGCTGAGTAATATTCCACTGTATACATATACCACATCTTCTTGATCCAGTCATCTATTTTTGGGTATTTGTGTTGTTTACAGGTTTTACCTATTGTAAACAGTGATGCAATAAACATAGGTGTACAGGTGCTCTTCTGAATCACTGTTTTTTGTCCTTTGGGTAGATCCCTAGTAGTAGAATTGCCGGATCGTATGGTAGCTCCATTTTTAGTAGACTGTGGAAACAGCTTTCCACAATGGTTGGACCATAAACTGGTATACTCCTTTAGTTATATTCCACTAAGTATAAAATTTTTGCCCTGCAAATTTTAAGTGATTTCCTAAGTGATATTTCTGAGAGAAGAGGCAATGTATACAATGACTTTTAAGTGCTAAGATAATTCTGTATTTTCACAGATTTTTGAATATTCAACTGGAAATATAGTTTTAAATAAACTATAGTTTATATTATAAGAGGTTGGATAAGTTTATATATGCACACACGAAGTAGTTCCACACTTATTTAGTTTATATTGTCTTTTCTATTTTAATAAGCAAGCCAAGTAAAGACTGAGATTGAAATTTATTTCCTAAATTTTACCAGGAATGGTTTATCATTCAGAAATAACTATTTCAAATGCAAACAGTATTTAAGCTGCCAATACCATTCACTTGCATCAGCTTTTACTTGTGTATGTTGAGAGAGAGAGAGAGAGAGAGAATAGAAACACAGATGATATGGAAATGCAGATTTGTGTCCCTACTTAAAAATGTTCAATAATAAGAAAATCTGACAATTGTTATGGGAATACTTGAAATTTGATTTCATAGTTCTGACTATAAAATAAAGCTAAGAGTCTTCTGTTAAAAATGTGTTTTCCTGGGCCTCCCCGGTGGCGCAGCAGTTGAGCGCTGGGTTGCGAAGCTGCCCGCAGCCTCTGCAGCAACGGTTCGATCCCCGGCTGCTCCCCGGCCACCAGAGGAGGGTCCCACATGGCGGCAGACCTCCCCTGCCGCCCGCTGCTCCCCTCGGCAGTTTACTTTGGTCCTTCTGCATGCTCTGCTCCCTACTCTGGCTCTGGTGAATTCTCTCACCCTCCTGCGCTTCTGACTGTACCCAGTGCTTGTATAAATAAATAAATAAATAAATAAATCTTTAAAAAAAAATGTGCTTTCCTAATGAAGCCAGTAGGAAAACAAACAAAAAAGAAAATGAAATAATTTTGCAATGAACTTGGCAATATTATATCATACTTTCTCATTTTCTCCAGTTCAGTTTATAATTTATCTTGCTACATTTTTGCTTCATTAAAGGAAGGTTATTTCTTATAAACTTATATCTTTGAATATTTATTTTAAAACATTTTTATATCACTATCAAAATAATATTTTTTTAAATTCTTCTATAGTCTGTAGGTAGAATGAATCCCAATCTTATTTTTCTAAAATCAAACTTATTTATTGCAAATAGATGAAAGAATTTGACCCCTTCATTAAACCATCTCTTAGGGCTGTGCCTAAGCATTTGACATATTTACATATTTACATTCCATAGTATTTCTCTCTTTTCACTTATATTTTAATAAAAATATTGAGATTTTTAAATTAGGTACATAAGTATCTTGCTTTTTCTGTGAGTTCAATTTTGGGATAGTAAAAAGTCATTATAAAATATGTGTTATAAAATAAGGCATTGAATTTTAAAACAGTGAGATTCACTAACTCACTGATTTAATGTATCTTAAACAAGCTATATGTAAAGTAACAAAATAATTGACATGTGACACATGCTCAATAAATCTGAAATTTCATAAGATGAGATCACTTCTGACTCTAGTAAGAAATATTTTTAATGCCACCAAAATAAAATATAATTCAGAGTGAATGTGAATCACAATTAGATTTTTGGCAGGAATCACAGCAAAAATCTTAATAAAAATTTCTGAAAAAGGTATAAAGATATAAAATCACAAGTTATATAACATGTTCAATTTTCTTTCTATGACAACTTGGTGAGAATAATCTAGTGTTTGGAACTTTAGTTAGTATGTCTGATGTGAAAAAACAAAGTGAGTTAGGCTAACCAACCCAGAAAAATAGATTAGAAGAACAGATAGGAGGATCTGAGTGCCAGAAATATGGATGAAAATATGATAAATATGTCAAGTGAAAAAGTTAAAGTGTAGATGGATAAAAATATATAAGGAAGTTACTTCTTTTAAGATGGTACCTAGAACTAGATAAAATTTATACAACAAGTTTGATGGCTAGAGTAGATGACAGGAAGACCAAAAAAACTTCAAAAGAAAATGATTAATATGGTAGTAAAGATGAGCAAATATATGTTGGATAAATAATAATGATATCTCCATTGGGTGAAATACTGAATTGCTCAGTTTCTTTTGCCAATTTTTGATTTGAAATATCAGGTGAAAAAAAAATCCAAAAAATGTATGTAAGATGGCAGAATTGAGGTTACTAGATAGGGAAGTAGGATGGGTGGTGGGTACAAAGGGAACAGAGGACCAAATGATCTATGGGGAAGGGTCATGGATACCTTTGTGGTGGATGTGGTTTGGTGACATACATATGAGGAGGTATGGATTTATCTCCTAACTCATATATAATATTGTAAACTAATGTTACCTAAATAAAACAAAAAAAAATTAAAGCAAAAAAAAATAAAGTAAGTTCAGTTACTGGACCAATGAATTAAATGGTAATGAACTTGCATGTAGTGTGTGTAAGTTGGTCTGTGCTAACTTTAATCATGGGAATGTAGTTAAATAATTACTGTTGAAGAAACAAAATAGTATTGTGGTTTATATTACAAACTCTGGAACCAAAGTAGATTAGAATTCTGATTATAATACTTATTAGCCGTGTACTACCATGGATAAGGTAGTCTTAATACCTCATTTTCCTCATGTATAAAATAGAAAAAGTTAATAATTCTTTCTCACAGGGTTGTATTAAATGTGTTGGTATTTTAAAATTACCTGAGTGGAAGAACACAAAACAACATCTGTTAAATATATATGTATCATATTCCAGTTTAGCAAATGTATACATTTTATATTTTGGTGAATATTTATGCATTTCTATTTTTTTCCAGCATACATTGTGTTGCACTCTATAGCCTATTGCACATATTTGAAGATGTGTTTGTGTGCACTTATTCAATAATTCTTCCAAGGTATGTGTCATGATGTAGAATTACTGAGTCATAGAAGACACAGATGCTCAGATTCTGTAGATATTGCATCAGTACTCTCCAAAGCTGTTTTTGATACAACAGGAGAAGGTCTTTAATTAGTCATTCAACAAAAGTTTAATTTTTAATGAAATAAAATTTAGTCTTATTTTCTCTTAAAATTTAATCCCTTTTATGGTTTTATGGTTTTGATAATAAATTAAACCATATTCTCAAGTTATAAGGATATGAGTTATGAATAGCTGATCTATTGACTAGATTATGAAAATAGAATAGTTTTCTTTTTTAACTTGTCCTCTATTTGTTGCATGTCATTATTAAAAATATATTTTAATGAGAAATAATAATAGAAACGTTTCCATTGAAGCGATAACAATAAAACAGTGAAACATGGACCTTGATAATAATCCCATTTGAGGAAAACATGCATTCGTTTTTGGGGAGATGCAATGTTCTATAGATATCTGTTAGGTCCATGTGGTCTAGATCTTTGTTTAGGGCTATTTTGTCCTTCTTTGTTTTTTGTTTGTTGATCTGTTCATTGGTGAGAGTGGGGTATTGACATCTTCTACCACATATGATTTTCTCTAATATCTGTTTTCAGAATTGATAGTAATTGTCTAATGTGTTGTGGTACTCCTTCATTTGGTGCGTATATGTTAAGGAATGTTATATCTTCCTGGTGTTTTGTCCCCTTTATTGTTATATAATGTCCATCAGTGTCTCGTCACATTTTTTACTTTGAAGTCTGTTTTATCTGCTATAACTCTGGTTGCTCCTGCCTTATTTGATGGGGCCATTTGCTTGTAGAATTTTTTTTCCAGCCCTTTAAATCTAAATTTATATTTATTTATATATATTTATAATTTAAATTTATATTTATTTTATTAAATTTATATTTATATTTTAAATATAAATCTATATTTATTTTTGGTCCTTAGTTGTGTTTCCTGGAGACAGCAGAAGATTGAGTTCTATTTTCTAATCCAGCCTGTTACTCTGTGTCTTATTATTGGTGAGTTTAGTCTATTTATGTCTAGGGTGATTATTGATACATGGGAGTTGTGGTTGCCATTGTGTTCACTGTTTTGTGGTTCTATTCAAGTGTACTTATTCATTCTTCCATTTCATCTATTCTATTTTCATGGCTTTTTAAATAATTCTTTACCCTAGCTCCCCACTGATCTTTTAACATCCTGTAGTTCCGTTATTTTCTTGTTAAGATTCAATCTTGTTGTTCTGTTTTATTAGTAATACTTCTTATCGCATTCTGTTCCTTTATGTGTATTTAAGTTTTTAATTTATAGTGATTTTGAATTCTTTATCTAGCAGGCAGAGAAATTCTTTTGTGTCAGTGTTGGTTCTGGAGGCTGATTTTCTTTCTGTGGTGTATTTCCAGGAGGGCTTGCTTGACCAGTTGTATTTTTATTTCTCTCTATTGTTTGCTTTTGGGTATGTTCTAGGTGTGGGATCACCATACCCCCATGTTTAAATGAGTGAAACAATACAAATGTATCCTTTCTGTTAGGAAAGTCCTTTTGGTCGTTGGGCTGGCTATTATTTGTAGCTCCTTTTTTGCTTGCACAATCCTTCCAGTTTTGTTTTACTGCATGTCTAATTGTGGGGGACTCCTTGCTGCTATTATGGGTCTCCTAGCTATGAATACAGATGTCACATCAATTGCAATTTTGTTACAGAGATTGTATGGACATAAATTCTGCCATCTACAAGTGGGCAGCTGCTTGCCATGCACGGAGTGTTCTATCTTCCAATGTCATAACAAAGCCAAACATACCACATTAAGGGGTAATGAGGATAGGTTTCAAGGCATGGCAAGGACTTTACTATGACTCATCATTGCTGAGAATTTAACATTACTGTTTCCTGATTATAAGAACAATTGGGCACTATAGAAAAAGTATAGTATAGAAAAACATTTCACTTCTGTGACAGTAGTATTTGGAAGTGCTTCCATAGCAAAAGTCTTCCTAATTAAATTTCTTAGCCACAAAGCTCTTCCTATTCATTTAATTTTATTTCAAGGGAAAAGCTGTCTCTGTATTTTGCATTTTTAAAATTATAGCAATCATAGAATTTTGCCAGTGGACTGTAAAAATCAAGCCTCATTTTTAAGGTAGTTAGGTGATACCAAAAAAATCTACAGGAATCAATGTAGTATGGTGGTTATACACAAAGAAACTCAAGTAAAATCACTGGGTCCAAATCTTCTTAATTTCTTACACCTAGATAATTGTGGATAAATCTCCACTTCACAATACCCTAGTTTCCTCATTTGATATGTGAATAAAATATAACTGTTTTACTAACTTGGTAGAAATTAAATGATGTAATACCTGAAAAACTCTTAGTATAACAGCTAGTACATATAAAACTGACAGATACTATTTCATGTTAAATCCTTGATGTCAGTTCTACATGCAGTGTAAATTCATGTGCAGTTTTAAGTTTTGATTCATTGTTTCCTTCCTACTGTCTTTATATTCTGTTGTTGATGTTCATAATCAAATACAGTTCTTTTTCCCCCACCCCAACCCTATGTTTGTTTATTTTTTCCAAAAATGTATTCACTTACACAACCTTTCAATCAAGTGAAAAGAATCTCACTTTTATTGCCCAGAATAAAGAGGATAGAAGTGATAGTTATTTTTTTGCTAAAGGTGAAAACAAAATTAAGAAGTTTGATGAAGTAAAAATCATAAGAAGGAGTGGGTCCTGGGATGATCGTGTTTATTATATGTTTTTTCCTTAAAAGAATCAAAATAAGATACATTTAAAAAATTTAACTATTTAACTATTTAACTTCAAGCCACTAAAATGTCAAGTTAATGTCTAATGTGTTAGTCTAGAAATTATCTCAAAAGTTTAAGATTTAGTAACTTTAAGGGGAGCACGGAATTAATATTGACTGTGTGACTATTTTTGTGTGCTAGGTCTTCAACTAGGCAATTCAAAATAATGTAAGGGATGAAGAGAGAAAAGAGAAGATGAAAAGGAAGTAAATTATCACTGTTTGAGATTCTGCTATATGTACCGCAGTCCCCAAAGACAAGCAAAACATAATAATTTTCTTCAAAGTAAATTGAAAGTAACACTGAAACCTCATTCTATCAGGTGACTGGAAAACTCAAGTTCATGCAGGGATCTGTGGTGCGAGCCTTACCCCTCCTAACAAAAAAAGCCTGAAACCTGATTCCTTGTATGTTCCCTTGCAAACAAGTAGCTCTGCAACTTTCAAGTGAAAACTGGATCGCTGGTGATAGGTTTCAATCTCTCTAGGTGACTGAATGTAGGTTTTCAATGTGTGCATTGTAGGTTTTAGGTGTGCAATGTAGGTTTTCCCATTGCAGAGATGTGTTAAGAGTCCACACCAACCCAGGAAACTTGAGTCACACAGTTGTGTTTATTTAAGCAGACAGCCATCTTCTTTTTTGTTGTTGCTTTCATTTGCTTCTCTTTTACCCTATTAAAATGACACTTTTAATAAATCAATTTAAAAACACTTGAAGGTAACTTGGAAATATCTTTAAGTAGCCTCTTAATTTGAACTACTCCTCTGACATAAGAAAGCACAAAGCCTGGCTAACAATATAGAAATGAAAAGGAAAAAATCCAGAACACAAAATATGAGATTTATTTATTTATTTATACAAGCACTGGGTACAGTCAGAAGCATAGGAGGGTGAGAGAATTCACCAGAGCCAGAGCGGGGAGCAGAGCGGGGAGCAGAGCAGGCAGACTGATGAAGTACACTGCTAAGGGGAGCAGCGGGCACAGCAGGAGAGGCCTGCGTGCCATGTGGGACCCTCGCCGCGCGGCCGGGGATCAAACTGGCACTGCAGAGGCTGCGGGCAGCTTTGCAGCCCAGCGCTCAATTGCTGCGCCACCAGGGGAGGCCCCACAACACAAAATATAAATAGCTATTTGTTTTGATTCTTTGGCCACAATAAAAACAATAATTCTCTTTATTATCCTGACATATGCTTGGTATTTACCACCTGTTAATTGATATAATTTGTATACCAATTCAGTTTTACAAAAAGAAAACAAAGCCTCAGAATTATTTGAACCTACAATATAACTTAGATAATTGGTTTAGATAAAGTCAGAATCTGAGCCTATCTGCTTGCAAAGGCCAATTTCTTATCACTGGATCTGTCTGTTTCGAGAGAAGAAAGCTTGTGGGGTAGGGATCTGAAATCTGCTATTAAGACTTTTGGTGAGACATGCACTAAAGAACAATGACAAAAATCATATCATAGAAGTGCTCTGCTGAGTATAGCACTGCAGATGGAAATCACTAGACCCTGCTGCTTTCTCTGGATACCTCCTTTCATCTTGCAGTGGCTGCCACTGCAGAGATGATGGTTCTCTGAGTCTTGAACCTCTGAACTGGGTGCTCCGATTCATGGAAACAGTCTCCTGTCCCACCTGAGAGGAGGGCTAAGAAAACATTTGTTAGCCTTTTCAGTTTTAATAATAGAAAGCAGTTTTCTTAACTAACAAGATGCACAAAGAGGAAAGATGTCTAAATATTGGAAGTGGTTCAGATTCAGGCTGACTGAAATGAAAGACAAACGGCCTCTATATTGAATAAAGTACAGCTTAAATACTGGCACCTTGATAAAAAAAAAAAGTTTAATTTGGTGAAAAGGCCTGAAATGAAATGGATTGGCTCCCTTCAGAGTGGCAGCTAATAGAGTGGCTTTTGGCGAAATCATTCCTAAGTGTATTGGGCTGCTGCTTCTTGCTTGCAGAACAGAAATTACTGGCTATTGGTTGAAATGCCAGGTGAATTAATTTTCAGCCTCATTTATTCTCTGGCTGAGCATAACGGCAATTTCAAAAGGAGAAAAATGGCCCCAATATATGTTGCCACAAATCTTTTGAAAGGTGCAAAATATTAGCAACCAAAATAATTTAATTCCAGATTCAAACAATTATCATTATTGTAGTTAAACAGTTCTGGATGTGTACATTTTCAGATTAAAAGAAAGGTTTGTTTGATGTTAGATTTCAGTTATTTCTTATGGAATTTAATTTGTTTATAATTGCTCCAGCATAGAACAGTGTATTTGAACATTGAATCTACGTTCTTCACCAGGAAAATAGGAGACTAGTTTTGTGTTGATTGTTGGTTATTGTAGGTATTGTTTTAATAACTCCTATGGATTATGATAGCTTCTCTATTTAAAATATTTTCACTTTATGAGATAGTTCTTAAGACTAACAATGCCTAAGAATTGTGATGAAGCAGGTATACTTATTTCAACTACTGAACATGAGTGGAAAGTAATATGGCAGTGACAACCTTTGCATACTTCATGTAACCCTCATAATAGTGAAGTAAATCAGCATACATTCATTTCTGGGTGATTTCATGTCAACAAATTAAAGATAAATAACGAATCTAAAATAAAGGTGTTATTTACCATGTACTGTAAGAGCAGAATGCACTGTGTAAGATAATCCTGCTCTATTATTTCAGTTTTTTTATATCATTTAAGTTAGAGTCAGATATATTTGCTTTAATGCCATCCTCAGAGAACAAAAGCCCACCTTTTTATTGCATAACAGAATATTTTGCACGAACTTCTGTTGGAGTAATAGAAAAGACTACAAAAAAAGTTTGAAAAAAAATTTTTTTTTTTTTTTTTTTTTTTTTTTTTAAGTAGTAAACAAAAAATATTCTTTTATTTATGTTTCCCATTGTACAAAATTTTAAGAAGCAAATGTAGATATAGACATGTATATAGATATCTATATGGAAGGGGTGTATGGAAATTATTTCTTTCCTTGACCTCTAAGCTTGATGAGTAGAAATCTCATGTCTATCTATCTTAAACCTAAATTCAACATTCTCCACTCCAGCTCGTTCTATGGATATCTTGTTAAATTAGGCATTTGAGACTCACTCTTTCACTTCTAGTGTGTACATTATGTGCTTCTCTGTTCTACCTAAAGTCAAGGCATTTTTCTGTTCTCATTATCCAAATTAGGTGCCTGTCTACATTGATACCCTTTTCCAGTAATATACCTTTTAAGTTTAGCTACACTTTTTATAGAGGATTTGGCTTTTTTTTTTTTTTTTTTTTTTTTTTTTTTTAATATTAAATTTTATTTTTATATTCCCCCATACAATTGCAAACGCCCCATTCTGACCCCAATCCTTCCCCTCCCGCCCCCCACCCCCAAAAAGTGTCTCTGGTTCATAGTTTTTTTGTTGATTTTGATTTTCACTTTCTTATATTCATTTTCCTGGTCCCTTATTTAAGTTTTCTAGATTCCTGCTATGAGTGAGACCATCCGGTATTTTTCTTTTTCTTTTTGGCTTATTTCGCTGAGCATGATCCCTTCCAGTGCCATCCATGTTGCTGCAAATTGCATGTGTTTATCTTTTTTGAATGCTGAGTAATATTCCATGGTATATATGTACCACATCTTCTTGATCCAGTCATCTATTTTTGGGCATTTGGGTTGTTTCCAAAGCTTAGCTATTGTAAACAGTGCTGCTATAAACATAGGAGTGCAGGTGCTCTTTGGAATTGATGTTTCTGTGTCCTTTGGGTAAATACCTAGGAGTGGAATTGCTGGATCATATGGAAGCTCTATGTTTAGTAGGTCCAGAAATCTCCACACAGCTCTCCATAGTGGTTGGACCAGTTTGCACTCCCACCAACAGTGCACAAGAGTTCCTTTTTCTCCACATCCTCGCCAACATTTGTTGTTGCTAGTTTTTTTAATATGTGCCATTCTCACTGGTGTGAGATGGTATCTCATGGTAGTTTTGATTTGCATTTCCCTGATTACAAGTGATGTTGAACATTTTTTCATATGTCTGTTGGCCATTTTCATTTCCTCTTCAGAGAAGTTTCTTTTTAGCTCTTCTGCCCATTTTTTGACTGGATTATTTTCTTTGTTGTTGCTGAGTCTCATCAGCTCTTTGCAGATTTTTGTGATCAGTCCTTTATCATTAGTGTTGGGTGCAAAAATGTTCTCCCAGTTGGTGGGGTTTCTCTTTGTTTTTGTTATTGTCTCTTTTGCTGTGCAGAAGCTCTTTAATTTGATGTAGTCCCAGCTGTTTATCTTTCTCTTCACTATCACTGCTTTGGGTGATGTGTCTGTAAAGATGTCTTTGATGTGCAAATCCCGTAGTGTTTCGCCTATATTTCCTTCTATGTATTTTATGGTTTCAGGTCTTATGTCTAGTTCTTTAATCCATTTTGAGTTGATTTTTGTGTATGGTGTGAGGTAGTGGTCAAGCTTCATTCTTTTGCATGTAGCGACCCAGTTTTCCCAGCACCATTTATTGAACAAACTTTCTTTGCTCCAATGCATAGTCTTTGCTCCTTTGTCAAAGATTAGTTGACCATAAATCTGTGGGTTTATTTCTGGATTTTCTATTCGATTCCATTGGTCTGTATGTCTGTTCTTGTTCCAATACCATGCAGTTTTGATGATTATGGCTTTGTAGTATAGTTTGAAGTCTGGGAGTGTGATGCCTCCATTTCCTTCTTTTTTTTTCAGTAGAGCTTTGGCTATTCGGGGTTTTTGGTGATTCCATATGAATTTCATCAATAATTGTTCTATTTCTTTGAAGAATGCCATTGAGATTTTGATTGGAATAGCATTGAATCTGTATATTGCTTTTGGTAGGATGGCCATTTTAATAATGTTTATTCTTCCAATCCATGAGCAGGGGATGTCTTTCCATTTCTTTGTGTCTTCTTCTATTTCTTTTAACAGTGTTTTATAGTTTTCTTTGTATAGGTCCTTTACCTCTTTTGTTAGATTTATTCCCAAATATTTGATTTTTTTTGTTTCGATAATAAAAGGGGTGGTTTTTTTGATTTCTTCTTCTTCAGATTTATTGTTTGTGTATAGGAAGGCTACTGACTTTTGCGTGTTGATTTTGTATCCTGCCACTTTACTGAATTGATTGATGAGTTGAATTAGTTTTTCTGTGGAGATTTTGGGGTTCTCTATGTATATTATCATATCATCTGCAAATAGTGATAGTTTGACTTCTTCTTTTCCTATTTGGATTCCTTGGATGTCTTTCTCTTGTCTTATTGCTCTGGCTAGGACTTCCAGTATTATATTGAAAAGCAGTGGTGAGAGTGGACATCCTTGTCTTGTTCCAGATCTTAATGGAATTGCTTTCAGCTTTTCACCATTGAGAATGATACTGGCTGTTGGCTTGTCATAGATGGCCTTTATGATGTTGAGGTATGTTCCTTGTATCCCAAGAATTTCAAGGGCTTTTATCATGAATGGGTGTTGCACTTTGTCGAAAGCTTTCTCAGCATCTATTGATATTATCATATGGTTTTTATATTTCTTTTTGTTGATGTGTTGGATAACGTTGATTGATTTTCGGATGTTAAACCATCCTTGTGCCCCTGGAATGAATCCAACTTGGTCGTGGTGAATTATCTTATGGATACATTGTTGGATTCTGATAGCTAAA